ATGGGGATGCTGCCACTTACGAGTAATCTCAAAAGAATGGCATTCTCAGCTATAAAAAAAACTTCAGAATCAGACCATCTTTATGTCCTGTCGGAAAATTTTCTCAAAGAGGGGCTCTATTGCATTGAGAAATCTGTCCAAGGGAAAGAATTTAAAAATTGGAAATTTGTACAGAAAAAAACAACTGCTGACATAAAACAAAACCAGGTACACATATAAAAATAAAATGTATAAATATTTATACATAAAATACGTAAAACTGTATTTAAAACAAGAAAAAGCAATTGTGAAAGAAATATGAGTTGTTTTGTGTGTGTGTGTGTGTGTGTGTGTGTGTGTGTGTGTGTGTTTTGTAGGAAGGGATATCTATTAGGGTTCTTCGTCAGCAACAGAAATGAAGTCCAATTTAAGCAAAGCAAGGGATGTATCTGAGGGCTGTGGGTAGCCACACAGTAAAAATAAAAACCAAAGAATCAAGTCTAAGAAAGGACAGGAACCAGGGCAAGTCCAGAAATCCAGAAGGAATTAATCAACAATCTCAAGTCACTGGATGCTCTGTTTTCGTCAGGCGAAGGAGAGCACAGTGCATCTGATGTGCTCTGCTTACTGGAAGGCAGCCAGGAGCATCTCCTGGCTCCACAGCTGCAGACTGGTACCCGAGGCAGCGGGATGATGTCCCATGCATATGCTGAACAGCGTTGCAACTCGAATCATAATGTGATCTTGTAAGCAGCAGTGCACTGTCATTCTTCAAGACTGGGTGGGATACTTTCAGGCCCCCCTCCCCCCAACTTTCTCTCACATATCATCACTCACAGTGGCATCATATTTCCCTTTCTAAATCAATTAATGCAAGGAGAACGAAATTCTTTAGATTTGGGCTTAGCATCCACCTTTGGGTACTGGGGAATACTTTAGTTTCTTTGAGGCACGTGGTTGTCTTATAACTTTAAAGTAAGTAAATAATAAAAAAAAGTGTTCTGTTGAACAAATAAAAACAGCTTTCGGGGAGGCCCCAAACAGTGGCCTTAATATCTGAAATTCCCGTAGGGATGTAGCATTGCCTTTGACTTACTACTTTAATAGGGAGAGGGAACAACAGTGTATTCCTACTATACTAGTAAGGGGAAAAACTGTGAATTCTCCCAGTTGTTGAGATTATTCCATTCAGTAAAGGAACTGGAAAAAAAACAAAAAAACAACCCATACACATTCACAAAAACAAAACAAAACAAAAAAACAACAACCCACAAAACACACACACACACACACACACACACACACGAAGAATGGATTTACAGGTGGACTGGGTCACCCTTTATTTTACCTGACTGAACTAAGCCCTTACTCTGATAGGCAGGTCTCAGTGGATTTCTTTATGCCAGAAATTACTACTAGCTCAGAGCTAGTACCCAAAGGTTTCAAGACAGCCTTTATTATTTATCTCATTCCAGGCCACAGTTATCCTATTAAATGATCTTTAGGAATATCTAGGCATAATAGTAAAAATAAAAAATAAAAAATGAACATTTACTGTTGTACATGGTACCCAGTCTTCCCTTTAAGCAGGATGCTGTGGATCTGTAGGTTCAACTGTGGAAATAGGATGAGGCATCATGACTCTCTATTGTCTTGGCTTAGGTCAGGCAACTCATCACACTTAGGGCATGTTAGTCATACAAATCAAGTAAGACTTTAGTGGGAACCCTATGTTCAGATAGGCATAGCCAGAGATGTCTTGTGAGATCATCTTATTATCACACTGGTGTTCTTGCCTATTATTATGCACAATTTGCCTTTGATTGTCCAAGGAGGCTTTCTCACCCGATGATCCCAAGATTCTCCTTTCCTAATTTAAACTAGGGAACACATTTTAATTGCAACATTTCCCACCAACAATTTCCAACATTCAGAAAATAGTGAAAACTTTTTTCTTTTTTTTTCTTAAGATGCTGGAATTTCCCTTAGCAGTTCGGGTCTAAAGGCCTTGAAGAAGGGATAGTCATTCCAGTCCTTCTTGGGGCAAGTTATGGGTATACAAGCAGGATACTCACAATGGATCTCGTCCAGCATTCCTATCTCAAGGAGTCTTTCTTTCCTCCCTGTGTGTATGCCAAGGGATTTTTGGCATCTTCACTTTCTTTAATGAGGGCCAGTGTTGGGGGCCTGATTTGCCTTATCCAGCCCAGTTTACACACCCAACTGCTTCTTCAGCCAGCACTTTTGAATGCAGCACTTCTGGTAAGTGCATCCACTCATCCACATGGACAAATACAGCCCAATCTAAAATTATGTCCACTCTTCTTGGTTGAGTGCTTTCAAAATATAGTCCGACAAAAATTTCAGCAATAGTTTCTTCTTTATTTAAAGTAACAAGTCCTGCAACCATTGCAATGTAATAACCTTCTGTTGGCAAAAAAAAAAGAGTCCTGGCCAAATATCTGAGGCCAATGTTATTGCCTGTTCATGTGTTTTATGTGCTCATTGCAACGTGAAGAATTGGAGGACTCACTGTACTTAAAATGCCAGGAATGGTAGGGACAAAATATGATAAGAGCATTCCCCCAAACCCATTTTCTAATGGTCTCAAAAGGGTCAAGGGTGGGAAGTATTGAAATTACTCAACGATCCTTTGCAAAATGTACACAGCTGCCCCTGCACTCAGGGACAAGTCAGAAGATGGTGGAGGTTAGGGTAGAGAGGTCATACATATTAAAAAAAACATTCTAGCTTAAAAAAAAATTCATCCAAGCATGTATTTATTGATTTTAGAAAAAGGAAGGGAGAAAGAGAAATATCAACAGGAGAAAGAAACAGCGATTGGATTCCTCCTTAATGTACCCCAACCAGGGATCAAACCCTCAACCTAGAATGTGCCCTGACCAAGAATTGAACCTGCAACCTTTTGGTGTATAGCATGATGCCCCAACCAACTGAGCCACCTAGCCAGGGTTCCAGATTTTAAAATACACACCCTCCCACACTCCAACTCATTATCCCCAGAAACATTGCTATCCACCCATCTTGATCATGATATAGGGTAAGGGAAGGAATAAAGTTGCTGTTCATAATTAGTTAAAAGAAAAATGACTCTTCTTACATTGTCATGGATTGTGTTAATGTTTCCAGCTATTCTCTTCTCTATAAAGAGTCGATGAAGAGACTTTCCCATTCCATTTTCTGAATTAGCCCTGACATTTGGGTCAATGGAAGATGAGAAGTGACAATGTGTTAACTCTAGGCAGAAGCTCTAAGAGGCAGTGCGGATTTCTGCTAACTTGTTTGCTTTTCCCTCTATCAGGCGAAACACATGTTCCTAACGGCAGCTATTCCTTCAGTCTGGGCCCCAGAGTGAGACTAAGAGAGCACAGTTGCAACCACTCACATGAACAACAAATGAATGCTTGTGTTTGGAAGCTTTGGAGATTTTGAGTTGTTATTGCAGCAAATGTCTAAAGTACATAAAATGATTCTTTTTGGAGGGGGGGGGAATTTTTTTTTGGTCAGTTTGGTTAAAGTGACACCAAAGCTTGAGTTTAGGAGTTTGAATTAGAGAGAAATAAATTTCTTTGTACAGGAAAGTGGGAGAGTTTGTTTTATCTAGTAGAGGGGGAATTGGCCAGGGAAATTCAATGGAGAAAGCCAGGCAATGAGACAGGGGACCCAAAAATTGTTTAAGGACTTTTAAGCCACGGATATCGAATTTGGAAAACAAGTGAGTCCCACATTTGCTTCATCCTGGCCCCAGGTGAATGATTGTAGAACACAGCAGCCTCCCAGAGACACATGAGAATAAAATAATTGCTGCTTTATGCTATTAAGAACTAGCTAATAAAACTTATCAGTTGTTTCTTAAGGAAGATTCTCAAGAAACGCCCCAAACATATATGCCTACACATTATTAATCAGAATTCAGCCACATGGCCAATTCCAATCACAAAAGAGGCTGTTCTAATCTCGACACTACACGACACTATAGCTTGACAATTTCTGTCAAAACTTAAAGTTGTTACATAGCAGCTGTATATGGTTATAAGAAAGATATTTGTAGACAGAATTTAAGGTAATGGTATACACACAATAGGGATGGATGAAAGGGTCAAATGACAATGGAACAGGTTGGAAAGAGGGGGTGGCAAGAAAGAAGGAAACAAACGTTTCTTGAATACTTTTTTATGCACCACAATTGTCCAGTTTGCCAGGTTACCCTGTTGAACAAGACCACAGCGCACTGAATCCTGTGCACTGCACGATGTCACTGCAGTCGCTATTTTCTTTGTAATTAGACGTAATTATCGTGAAATGTAATGAGGAGCTTGTCCACAATCAAATCAAACAAGAATTTCCAGAAACGCCCCTAGTAGTGTAGCTACAAATGTCAAATGGCTGGGAGAAAACATAACCAATAATTATAAACAGGACTAGAGAGGGAAGCGTGGGCAGTGAGTAGTACTTCAAACGCATGCACAAGATGCTTGGGATGTAACTTTGGGAAATCTAGAGAAATGATTCAAACTATATTGGGGGGAAAAAAAAAAAAAAAGGAAAGCAAATGAGTAGCGCCAGCTCAAAGGAAAGTACTCTTGGCATAGAGAGGCTTTAGGTCCTGCCTAGGCCTTGCCCTCTCGCTCTTCCAGTATCCATTCCTATTCCCCTCACTTCCCACTCGCTGCAGCCAGGCCGGCCCCGCCCTCGACCCCCGACTCCGCCCACCCTACCCAATGCCTGGCTTTGCTCAGCTTGGCTTGACTGCGGCAGGCTCCGCCCATCAACCCGGTAGGCCCCGCCCACCCTCCCTGGACCGCGGCAGGCTCCGCCCACCAATCCTGGACCGCGGCAGGCCCCGCCCACCCTCCCTGGACCGCGGCAGGCCCCGCCCACCCTCCCTGGACCGCGGCAGGCTCCGCCCACCCTCCCTGGACCGCGGCAGGCTCCGCCCACCCTCCCTGGACCGCGGCAGGCCCCGCCCACCCTCCCTGGACCGCCGCGGCCGCGGGGCGGGGCGGGGCGGGAGGAGCCAGGCTCCGCGGCGGGAGGGGGATCCGCCGTGGAGTTACGGGAAAGTTGTTCCGAGTTCCTGGAGTTTCCCTCTGCGGATCCCCGGACTCGGCCAGCGGGTGCCCCGGCTCCTTTCCTTCCCTCCGGCCTTCGCCGCCCACCAGGCCCCTCCTGTGTCCCGGGCCGCCATGGAGCAGCCGCCGGCGCCCAAGAGGTAAGCAGTGCGGGCCGCGGGGAGCCGGAGGGAGGCGGCGCCGCCGTCGGCGCGGGGCGGGGGCCGCTAGGCCCGGCTGCTCCGGGACACCCTCCCCGCCCGCGGGGCGGGGATCTGGGCGCGCTGGCGGGGGAGAGGGGGGCCCCCCCCGAGTGCCGGGCCTGGTCTGTCTGCGGGGCGCGGGGCTCGGGGGGAGGCGGGGCCCCGGGCCCCGGGCCGCCGGGCCTGGCTCGTGGGCGGGAGGTGGGCAGCGCCGGGCGCCCCGCGGCGGCCGGGCTCCCGGGACGCGCAGAGTTTTCCTCGTGGCAGATTCACGAAGCCAGGGAGACGTCACACCAGGACATTCCTGGGCTTCTCACAGTCATGTAGGTTTCCTTGTCAAATGTTTCTCATAGTATATTGCCTTTTTTTTTTTTTTTTGAGAAGCGGGTGGTTTACGTACAGTTCAAGGAGTTAAATATTAATAGCTACACAGTTTGCCAGACTTACCGTGGATACGCTGCGCTGACAGGTGTCCCTCCCCTGCCCCTCAAGTTCAAAAGTATTTATGGATGCAAGACTAATTTTAAGTTAGGACCCCTCCCCCATATAGTGGTGTTTTTTTTGTTTTTTGTTTTAGCATCTAAAAATAGTGATGCTTGGGTATTTACTGTTAATTCACATTAAATCTTTGATTCGTTGGAAGTGTAAGAGGACACCGTAGTTTGAACTAATATGTGAAATGACCTTAGGAAGCTAAATCCAGGTTACCCATTGATTTAAATCCTTAATGTGTATTTCTTTCCCGCCCCCAAGAATGAATCAGTCAACTAACTGCTGTTGAATAAAATAGTTAACTTCCGTCTTTTAGTTTATAAAACAAGCCTACTAATTTCTCTCCTAGATAGTGTGATGAAGATGAAAGAGTTTGAGTGTTTTGATACCTAGAGATCTTTAGATGGAAGATGGTGTATTCAGGAACATGAAATAATTAAAAGGTTGGAACTTTGTGAGCTATTGTGAACAGGGTGCATGGACATCTGAGCCTCGAGGCCTGAAGACCATCTGTTCAGGTGTAAAAGGGGGTTGTGGACAGGTTTGCAAAAGGGACCTCCTATCAGACAGAGTCCTTGATAAATTCTTTTCTGACGTTTTGTAAAGTGTCCAAATTCTAGTATTGATTGGGCACCTAGTTTTAATACTGTAGGAGAAAATTGTAGTATTTTTTTTTCTTTTGCTTTTTTTTTTTTTTGTCTTGGAAGGACTGAGCCAGCAAGCACCGTAAGAACAACTTGAACAACTCTGAATTGAAGTGGTAGCTCTCTCTATTGATTAGCTATACTTTAGTATCAGAATTTCATTACAAGTGAAAGAGAGCGCCCGCCCTTGCAGGGGTGTAAGAGAAAGTGAGGGGTCAGAGCTAGGTGTGGTAGCATATATCACCATTCCATGTTGACTTACACTTTTTAATATAGTGGTTGCCCATTTAATAAGTTATTTTTAACTCTCTTTAGAGAGACATGTTAATCCAGAAGGCATTTCTGAAGACAGTCTCATATATTTGAATAACTCTTAAAAATTTTTTTTCATAGCATTTTTATTTTTATAATACCATTTAATCCTTAGAGCAACCCTATGGAGTACGTTAGATAACGGGCATTAATTCTACTTTATAGATATGGACACGAAGAGTGTTTGCCCCAGGGAAGTCTATGATAGGAATAACTTGATAGTGAGTTTTTGTATTGTGCCTATTAATTCTTGCCTTCTAATAATGCAATATAGCTATCATTTTTTTGAGGTCGTACTGTTTGCCAGGAACTTTCTATACATTCCTTTATTTATTGTCTTAAGAAATGAGAGTCTCGGTTCTGCAATTTACTATGCTAGCTCTAAATTTAATTTCTTCATCTGTAAAATGTGTCTTGTGGTTATATTGAAGCATTTAGCACAGTGCTCTGTAATGTGTTCAATGATGTTAGCTGTTTATGTTTTCCCTGTTACATGAAGCTCAGAGAGGTTAAATAACTTGGTCCAGTGGAGGAGGTTCCAGAAACTTTTCCCAGCAAGGCGTGTGTTAAACATAAATACAGTAGATGTGGTCTCTCATGACTTTGGGTACCAGAATGGCTTTTAGATTTCTCAGATTTCCTTATCAGGTCTGTCAGATATCTAAAGAAGTCCTTATTAAAATGAAGCCCCCTTGGGAAGGTAAAATCATGAAACGGCTATTAATTATTAGCATTATGTAAGTTGAGTTTATCAGTCCTTTGTAAGGGAACATCTAGTTGAGGAAAAAATGACCACAGAATAGGTAAGTTTTGATAGGTAGAAAAGGAAATGGCCAAAACATGGGCTCTTTACCGAGTAGAACATCGTAGAAAAGGAAATGGATGTCTATGATAGATTGGTGGGCAGTGCTGAGAACTCTGGTTGCCGGATGGCTGCTAGTTATATACAGTATTGCCAGAGAGAGGACAGAATATCATTGCTGGAGAGATATACTCTATCAGAGCAAGATACATTTGTTCCTCAGTTAGATTACAGGGTTACTAGTTATTTAAAATTCATTGATTAAGATATATTTGGAGGAAAAGTTGGTGTGGAACAGTGAAAGAAGCCTGGAAGGATAATAAACAGCAAGAGAGTAAGTTCCTGAGGCTTCTCTAGTCAGATGAGGAGAGTTCTTTGATTTAAGCTGCAGTTGGATTTTGTGGCAATTTTTTTTTAAGTGTGAGAAGTTAGTTTGGAGGAAGTAAAATTGAAGGTTAAAATCAAAATGTTAGGATTACAAAGTACAGTCACATAAATGAAAAGTGAAGTTAGGAAATCAATCATTTCATAAGAGAAAGTGTTGCTAGGAATGAATGGATTATCAGCCACATGATAGACTGTTAAGGAATGAAAAAGCAAAGGTAAAGGGATGAAGATATAGAATAATAAAGTAGAAAGTATTCATATTCTCCTCGGCCTATTGAGCCCACATCAGCCTGTAGAATCAGTGGCCAGAATCTTGGGCCAGAAGTTAGGAGTGGAGATAAACCGCAGAGAATTCCCACCTCTCAGGAATGAAGTTGCATGGAACAGAGCAATAAACCAGGTAAGGAGAAGGAGGGCACCAGGAAAACCGTGAAGACATTGCTGTGAGAAGAGGGGTGGACTTAATATTAATGTCTACATTCCTAAGTCAGGTGTTCTTGGAATGTTAGAAAGTGAAATTCTTGTGTGCTTATTATCAGAGAGATTCTCAAGAGAGGTGAACTCTAAGAACTCTTAGAAAGGTAAAGGCAGGAGGCCCTGGGTAAGCTCCCTACTTCAGAGGCAGGCAAGTGGAAGAGGTGTTCTAAGTAGTCCAAGGGAAAAGAACTGCACAAACAGGAGCATCTTTCTGCTTAAAGACAGTAGATAATCGTAGTTTTCAGTCAATACCAGGCAATTGATTATTAACTTATCCACTGTTCTTTAAGGGGCTGAGATTTGGCATATATTAGTACTGAAGAAGTATAAAGAAAAGGTAAACATTTATTGAACACTAGAGGCCCGATGCATGAAATTCATGCATGAGCAGGCCTTCTTTCCCCGGCTGCCAGCACTGGCTTCCCTCACAGCCTGGCTTCATCCGGAAGGTGGTCCGGAAGGACTTCCAGTCTAATTAGCATATTATGCTTTTATTATTATAGACAGCTAGGTCGAAATTTGTTCTTCTGTTATAATCTAAATGCTCCATTCCAGAAATGTATCAGTAAAGCTTTAATAATAAAGGTTTTAAATTCAGTGCTTCTTGTTTGTATTGTAAGGGAAAAAAGTGCTGAGAATTTTGAATTTCTCTTTTTAAAGATATCTGTTGAACTATAAATACTGTCTCTTCAGCCATCGTATATTAATGGCTTTCAAAAATTAAAAAAAAAATTAAAATTTTGAGACCCAGTGCAGATCCACACACATATAAATAAAAAAAAAACATACATAGTTTTACTTAGAAGTTTCATAAAATGTACTGTGTGCGTGGTTTCTGATATTTTTCTATTTTCTGTTCTGTTTCATTGAGAAACTGCTGGTCACGATCCGCCAAATTATTGTCATGATCTATTAATGTGCTGCAATTGCAGTCTGAGAAAAACATTCCTGTGTGTAGTAGAGACAGTCAGGAAATTGATTTCCTTTCCAACTCCATCCTGATACTTAATATTGAAAGCTTGATGATGGCGTTGCCAACGGAATCCAGAGTGGTGTAATCTACAAACACTAGAGATTTTCTTTAAGGTTCTAAAAGGGGAGGAGGTGAAAAGGGGCCAAGAAAACTATTATTTAAAAGCTACTGTATTTTAAGCTACATATGTCAGTTAAAGTTGGGAAAAATGCAAAATGACAAAGTTTACAAAAGAAAAGATTGTTATGAGGCAAAAGCACATTTTCTTTCTGGTGTCGAATGACCCCGCAGCCTGGAAACATCCAACTATAATTATGACCTCAATTTCTGACTCCCTACCAGCTCCACCCTCTATAATACTAAAGGTCTTTCGATTTTTCTTCTAAAGATAACATTTATACTGTATGATAGAAACTTTCTTTATTTGTCCCAAGCTTCTTTTTCTGTTGTGATTTTATTTGAATTGCCTCATATATTAGGATTACTCTAACCTTAAAAAGCTTTTATATCTTAAAAGGAAGATTCTATATTTGAGATATCTTATTGCAACTGCTCTTTTAATATAGAGTCTCAAGTTAAACAAAAGTAACAAACATACACAGACATATATGAATATTAAAAATAAGTTATTGTTTGCTTATTAGCTGCAGATGACCTTAAATGTCTTAAAAGTACATCACAGGATATATCTTGAAAAATGATTCTGTAGCAAAGTGAGAACTACAGAAAGCTATTAATATGATACCAGACATCTTGGTAAAGAGGTGAAATTGAGTAAAATTTTTCAGGTATTTCAGATATCTTGATGTAACTATTAGTATCTTGATCCACACACACACAAACACACGTGTAAAAATGGGGAAATTATTGA